ATTACTTATTAAAATAACAATTAATTTACTAAGAGACAACAAAAATTCCTACCAATAATCTACACTTTTAATTATTTCTTATCTCTGTCTCTTAACATAAAAATAATAATAAAATAAGTTAAAGACTCAAAAATTAGTCTCATCAATAATGTTGGGTCTCTCTGTTATCGTTTCACTTTTTCAAGTTTGGCATCTCAAACGCTTCTTCCTCAAGAAGAAGCTTATCTAACTTGATTGTTTCATAAAATTATTTTAGAGAACAAAATTACAATATTGTACCTTTCTTGGGATGACACTATACAGTCAAAGTCAATAAAGAAACACATTTAACTTCCGGCTACTTGGTGGCGTTAGGCCATACACAACGACTACTGAACTTATCTCTCTCAGACCATCTCCATCCATAGCTCCTAAACATGGGGTACTTATAATTAAATTAAAAGAAAATAATGTGATTCGTGAAGTTAAAGATCTAGAATAGTAGAAATTATTTTTACTCCTCCAATGAGAGTACCCTTATGGGGTCCTTAAACAAATTTTTTTTTTTAAATACAATAATTTTAGAATAAAGACTTACATAAAAAATTTAATAAAATGTTCATGTAGATGCAGAGAACGATGACACACGAGACGACGACGAAGTGGACGGTGATTGCCGATGGCTTGGAGCTTCGACGTGGACGGTGGGGGAGCACAAGCAGACGTCAACAATGTCAATGATGAGCACAAACCTGTTTCATACGCAACAACAACAACACGAGCAAACGTCCAAAACTGTAATAAGTACAAACCTGTTTCATACACAACAACAACAATTGGAATTTAATAGAAAAACCAAAACAAAATGGTTGTGTAAAACTAAAAGCAACTGAACTTACAAATGCCAAATACTGTGAAAGAGAAGATATGTTTTCTGAAGAGAGAGCATGATTTCCGGTTACTCTAGGAGATGACCTCACAGTGTTGGATAAGGCAACCTTCTCTGCTGCCAATGTTTGGTTTGGATTTTCACTATCAGAAGCAAAGGAAGGAGATTCACCTGTTTGAAACTCCAACAACATGGAAAGTAATTCATCAGAATCATGCTCACAAGAAAATAGGAACAAAATATTAAATACATTTTTGTATCTGTTCACAAATGATAAATATATAATTCTTTTTTTTACCTGAAGGAAACTCTTGACTCCACCTGCAAAAGTTGATGAGAAACAAGGGATAACTGATGAGAACTGAAACAACTTGCATGAAAACTCGCCTGAGTTTCATCGTGGAAAGTGAGAGTTTCATCCTTGGAAAGTGAGAAGAAGAAGATGACCGAGGATTCGCCTGAGTTTCATCGTGGAGAAATCATCATAGAATCGTCACAGAAGATCAAAGAAGGAGGAAGAAAAGAAGAGAATTGGTTTCGACGGAAGAGAGAGAGACATTCAAAAGGGGTCGAATAGGAAGCTGACACGTATGGGTCCTTACCCTTCCTTAAAATCCCATATTAAAGAGCGGTCCTCTGCTTTCTTTTTCTTTTTCATTTATTTTTTGGCACTTAATTGTTTGAAACCCCTCTAAGTAACTCCCGATGGAGTTGGTCTCAGAAGCTATAATATACAGAGAAGCTATTAAAGCATATATTCAATTGGCATAATCAAAGTAGATGGCTGCACTGTTTAGTGTAGCAACATTCTATAACCACAGCCAAAGTTAAACAAAAAGAAAAACATTCTATAACAACAACTCTTTTCAAGTTCTGTTTCTAGCTAGTTTCCATATGGATTCATTTTATACACTTAGTTTTGAATTAAAGTGTACAAAAATTATCTTCTTTCTGGATTGGAATACCGAATCACATGTCCCTAAATTGGATAATTTTTCCGTTCGACGGTCTCAGGAAGAAGGCACGTAGCTCAAAACATCGGCATGGTTAACAAGTAACGAATAGAATATGTGTCTCAAAACTCGAAGAGTTAATTAAGAGTGATGGCAGCATTTGTACGCTCACATAGCTAACGCATGCACATCATTGCCAAGTTTAGTATTTTTTTTTACCATCCATCAATTTTCTTATATTATCCATGACTTCAACAAAAATTCAACTAATATACAAAATTTTGTAGAATTAGTTTAATTTAAATTATTTTATGCTTTGGATTTTTTCAATAAATAGATATAAATTTGGTCACTCTCTCCTAGAAAAAATTGAGTTTGAATTAAAGAAACAACACATTTTTATAAATTTAACCGGTTGACTTGATTCTCCCATTCTTTTTTTTTGTCAACACTTGATTCTCCCATTCAGCTATCAGATGTATGGGTTTTGCATACTTTTTAGTTATTTTTCTGAAAAACATTCTTATGAATTATAATATACTACCTGTCCACTGATACTGGTTCAACAAATTAAATATCCTAAAATGGTTGTCATTGTTTTAGATATACTCTTCAAAATATTCGTATGAATTATAGCGTAATGTTATTTGTCCATTGATGTTGGTTCAACAAATTAAATATCCTAATAATTATACAAGAGAGGTTAATTAGACCCATGACAGTATGAAACAAAGAATTGTGTAACCTCCTTAAATACTATTTATATACAAGCAGTAACCAATTGTGATTGCAAACGTATACAAAATAGTTTCTATATATATTATACATTCCGTATAAATACAAAATGTACTAACCTCCTAAACCCCTTTGTACATCGACATATTAAAACTTTAAAACCAACACTTTACCCAAAATATTTACATGGATTAGGGTTTCATGGAATGAGACAATTACACAAGCATCTCAATAAAAAGGTGATCCATTGTGGTTTGAGGCCGAACTAAAGGAGCTAAACGGCCAGAGATACAACAAAGGATTCTTCCTATCACTATTCCGGTCTTGTGGCAGCTCTTTGCGACACACTGGACAAGTATTACGCTGGACAAGCCACGGGACTATACATTCCGAATGGTAGATATGTTTACACGGTAACTTTCTTGCAACCGATCCGATTTCAAACCGGTCTTGGCAAACTGGACAAGACGGATATCCAAACCGAGATGTTTCTTCCTGATCTTTATCTTTGGTATTGAGTTGATCACGGTTAGTGAAGCTGGAGGTGGACCACGTCGGTTTTGTTCTGAGAACCGGTTAAACAAATCTTGAAAACTAGATTGGCTATCAAGAATCAATCTTCTGTTGTTGCGGGCACGGTTAAGAGATTGTTGTTCATTGGATAATCCGAAAAAATCAAAAGGGCTAAGTTCAACATTCTCATAGAGAAGTTCAAGAAAAGTGTTACCACAGTAAATGCAAACCCCTCCTCTCGAGCCTTCAAGGTTAAGACGGATTCCTCGTCTGCAAGTACTACACCAATGTGTGTTTTTTCGGCTAGTCATGGATCTGCAAGTTTTAAAGGAGTTATTCTTTCTCATCAAACCATTGTCAAGGACCTTTCAGACCAGAAGATGAAAAATCACACATCATGGTGTAACTCTACTTGTGACAACCTTGCAAATGGAAAGAGCCTCACGATCAAACGGAATCTTTTAAGCTACTTGTTAGTAGTAAAACAAAACGAATCAAAACATGGCTTACCCGAATATAATGAATCAACTGACAAACTTGTGAGTCTCCAAGTAGGAAAGAAGATTCAAATTACAGAGAAGAAATGAAAGTTATGCAAGACGAAGAAAAGTCTTTTACGTAAATATAAAGTCGCAGGGTGATATTGACGAAGGAAAATGAAAGGCGGCTTCTACAAGGGGAACATGGTCAAAGTATCTATTTTAACATTTTACCGCCCAAAAGAAACTCAGTAAGAGTCATACAATGAAGTTAACTAGAAATTAAGCGTAATTAAATTATTTTCGTATATAGTTGCACAAAAAAAGTTATTTTCGTATTTATTTATTTTTCTCAAATACGAGGACTTAAATTTCTTTACATCTCAAAAAGTAATTTTGATAATATTCAATTCAGCTTATTTGCACAATGGTAAACAGTTTAATGTTTTAAGTATTCAATTCAAGTTATTTGTACTACAACGGTAGGTAATATAACTTTCTAAATATTCAAGGAAAATTATTCCTACTACTAAGTATGGCAGATTATTTAACTTTTCAAGCATTCAATGAATATCCGGATTTGTACAGATGTATATCCATCCAATCATAGGACTTACCATTAAGAAAAAGAATATTTTTCTAAATAACTAAATAATTATTTATTTACTAGCTAGAAATTTATGTTTAATTATATCGCATAATTAATATTTACAAATATTTCATAATAAGTATCATAGTAATCTTTTTTTTTCTTGTTGCAAAAGAAAGTCACTTTATAATTTCAATGGAAATTATACTATTGGTCATAGAAGTATAATTAATAACATCTTACATATACTTCTGCCATTTTCTTAATCTATGTGAAAAGTGTAAAAGTGACACTTATTCAGAAACGAATGGAGTATATATTACCAAAATAATAAAATACATTAATTACAAGGATATAATTCACTTTATAATTTATTTAAGTCATCTAAATAATATTGTTACTATAAAACTCATTAATTAAGGATTGATTCGGTATAAATTTTTTTTTTTTTTTGCTAAAATTTGATATAAATATTTAATTAAATTTTTTCACAAAATAACTCTTCAACTAACTATTTATAAATAAATTAACCATTTTACTTTAAAAAATATTAAAGGACATTCTTGCAGACTTGCATTTGTGGGTTCTACTCCGTTCTAGTGAAAAGGTATAACGTCAGGCTGTTCTAAGTTGTGTCTTTTTATTGGTTTACTCTCGAGTCTCCATTTGTGTTATCTTAATTGGCTCCAAAAAATTATCTTTTCAAATTTTCTCGGGAATGTTCTTGTGAACTTACTGCACAGAGTTTCCATCAGATTCTCAGAACTCTTTTGACTGGAAAGGCTTGTTCAAAACCTAGGTTTTGGAGTTTTATTCTACGTTTTTAGGGTTTTAAACCTGATTTCTGGATCCATTTCTTTCAGATGACGACTGAGAAACCATCGGCCTCGTTGGATACTTGGAGAGACTATTTTCGTCGAGGAGATTCTGATATCTTTGGGATCATCGAGCATGCCATCATGGTGGCTGCCGCTGATTTGCCAAAGGAGTTCAAAGCCCGGAGAGACACAATCACCGAGCTTCTCTTCTCTTGTCAAGTGGGCCGCTGCATTGGATGTGGCCAGCGTGAGCTGTCAAAAGCTGTCCACGAAGAGGCCAACAGTGACCGTAAGAGCGTGGAGACAGTTGGAGTCGATTCTGGTGGTCATGAAGAAGATGAGACGAAGTTGAACGTTGATGAGATTGTTGATGAGGTCATGAGGATCAAATATATCTTGTTGAACAAAAATAATGAGGTTTAATTTGTTTCTTCACTTTAAATACATCAGAAGCAGTGATAGTTTTAGGGTTTGTTTGTAATCTTGGTTCTGATTGTCTGAGCTTTTGCAGCCATATGTGCTAGTCGAATCCCTGACAAATCTTGCGTCCATATCAATGAGTGTGGATCTTATTAAGGTTTGTTTCTGGTGCTGTTTTGCTAATGTATATGATTTGGTATCATCATGGCCGGATCTAGACACAATCCAATGAAACATTGGATTTGATCCTTTTGATTCTCCCTACCCCAATTTTTTTAGTGATTTTATATATAGAATATTAAATTGTGAATTTTTCTTATTAATTTTTTTTTTTAAATGTTTATGGTTCTTAAATCTCGTTCATGCTTGGTATTAAAATATGTTGAATACTGATTGAAGGGTTTGCGTTCTTGCAGGAAACTAAAATCGGAAAGGTTGTCAATGGCTTGAGGAAGCATGGTTCATATAAGATTAAAAAACTTGCAAAGACTCTTATTGTGTAGGAGTTTGAACTTTCTTTTGTTTGTTTAGTTTCTGTGTGCTTGTACTCTCTCATTTGTGTGATGTGCAATAAGTCATTGGTGACAGATTCCAAGAGAACCAACTCCATGCAAACCAGCTGCATATATTAAAGATGCCTAAATCTTCAAAAAAATGTCTCTAAATTGGCATCATTTGATCATTAGGGAGCTGCTCTTATGCTAGTTGATGACTTAGAACATCTAACTCTTTCGCATTTCTGGCTCCTGAATATAAGTGCTGTGTTTTTATGTATGTGATGTGCAGAAAGTGGAAAGCGATGGTGGACCAGTGGAGTAACATGCCTAAGGAAGGTGCTGGTAATAGCTCTATCTCCTCATGTAACCTAGTCATTATGAGCAGCTCTCTTTTTCTTGTCCAAGATTCATAATACATGACTCATGCATGTGCTGATTGGACTCCAGAGTTTGCAACTTTGTCAATAGTTGATGAAGCAGAAAGCTTTCCGTCTCTTCCACATGACCTAGTTCTTTATGCACGTGAACCTACTGCATTAGAAATCTCTAAGGTTTATGAGTATATCTTTCCCTCTTTGTCATATTTAATTTTGGACATTAATGAAGTGTTATTCTGACAAGTTTCTTAATGTCTTGGCCACTTCAAGATCTTAGATTCCTTGGACTGCGATGGAAGTGAGTTAATAGTATACTATTTAAGTACTTTATTCTCTACTTGACACCCTTCCTATATATGTTGACACAAGATGTTTTCAGATCTTCTTGACAGTCATGTGCAGCCCAAACATGAAAGAAAAGTGCAAAGTAGAATGATTAGGAAACTTGATGGTACATGTGAAGCCAATGTGGTTGGGAGGGACAAAAAGAATCAGCAGATGAGGAGAGAAGAATTTGATGTTAGACCTATGAGGCACTCAGCACCTGTTCTTGATGAGCCTATAAGAAAATCAAAACAAAACAAAGGAGAAATGGTACGTGCCATCCAAAGGATTGATGGATCTCAACAAGATGTGAGTGTATGGGTTCATAAAGCATTGATATCTGATTGGTTATTTTATGTTCTAATAGCTAGCTATTCTCTTTGTTTCTTGTCGCTGTATATTAGACACACAAAGCTCTTGATCAAGAGGCTAAATTTGAGAATACAAAGAAGAGAATCCAAGAGAGCTACCAACAACATGAGAATGGTTAGTCTTTCTCTCTCTCGAGAGATTTTTGATATTTCTATTCTTGATGCCTCTTTAATTTTCAACAGCCAAGAGGCAGAGGACGATTCAAGTACTGGAAACGATCCCAGAGCAAAGAAAAGCCCAGAGACCACTACTCAAGATCAGACCCATGCGAAGATAGTTACATTTTTCTTTTGGGATGATGTTATTCTATACAGTTACTATGATAACGATTCACAGCTTATGATCGAAGTTAACATAGTGTTCATCATGACTACTGATGATAATTTATGTAACTCTAATGTAGAAAACTTCATAGATTTGCCAGTTGTCTTGTAGACAAAGAATGCTTAAGATCTCCGTTCTTAAAATGTCCAGGGTTATAAACAGTACCGGTCCTGACATGAGAAAGACCCGAAGCAATTTTCTAAAAATTGACCATTTTTATAAGAACGTTTATATACTATAATAATAATATTTTTTATAAAAAAAGTTGAATTTTTTAAATATTTTTTTGAGGGCCGGAAGCGGTTGCTTGTAATGCTTACCCTCAGGGTCGGTACTGGTTATAAACATTTTATAAGAAAAATAGTAAAGCTTTTTAACAATTTATATTTAGGTATATTACTTCTTAGAAATTTGAAAGTTTATATAATGTTTTACTTGCTTATGTTAATCTGAAATTCTGAATGATAATCAATAGGCTAAATTCTAAAAGGTATTAAACTAGTTCGGTTTATTATTTACACGAGCCAAATCCAACAAAAACGACCAAGCATAAAATGTAACCCCGGTCATCCGTTATCATACTGTTGAGATTTGTTTATTTTAGGTTAATTCAAAGAGATTCATTTATGTCATATCATGAATTGTTGGGACTGTCGGAAGACAAGTGGAAAAAATGAGGACGCAGCCGGCAAACCTAACATATTTGCCAATTACAAAACAAACTTCAATATTTAATCGTCACATCTTCTGTTTTATAACATGTTAGGTTAAATATTGAACTATCAAAAGGAGAGTACAAATAGAAAATACTTTTTTATTTTCCACATTAATTACAACTTTATATCCTTAAAATTAAAATATATACAGTAATTTTGATTAATGACTAACTAAAATTTTATTGACTGTAACAAGTTTTTTCCGCCAGTCCATCAACTAAAAATTTCGCAGATCTCTTTTATAATTTCTTCACTCAAAATTGAAAACCATAAAAAAAATGTTTACTTATACGGAAATAGGCTTAACCATAAAATATTGACTAAATATTCCTTTTTAAATGATACGAAAATGTCCCTAATTATACAGAAATATAATAAATAAGTTATTACTAATCTTATTATAAATAAGTTATTAATAACTAAAATTTTACTGACTGCTACAAGTTTTTTCCGCCAGTCCATCAACTGAAAATTTCGCAGATCTCTTCTATAATTTCTTCATTCCAAAACTGAAAACCATAAAAAATGCTTATAACTCATACGGAAATGTGCTTAACCTTAATATACCTTGACCAAATATTCTTTTTTAAACGATACGAAAATGTCCCTACTTATACGGAAATATGATAAATAAGTTAATACTAACCTTATTATAAGTTTGTTGTTCGTCAAGAAAGTTGTCTTCGTTTGCATCTGGATTACTGGACTTGGTTCTCAGAACACCAAACCCAAACCATGCATCAAATTAAAAAAAAAAAAAATTATCAGTATTGACACTATTGTATAAAACGATCAACAAAGATATTGCTGCTTTATCGATTCTTAGACTATAATGGATGAGACTATGTTTAGCAATTACTTACCAGGACTGAGATCCATTCACTGTGATTTTTATTTTTTTCCGTCTTCCTTAGATTTTGTATAAAACACTGCTTACTACTGTCCATTTGTTTATCCAGTAAGAGTATTTTGCATATGCACCTAATTCATCATGTCTGAAAACAAATAAGCTATAGGAATGTTAATCTTAACTCAGACAGTCTTAGTATAATCGCGATACTACTGTTACTCAGTACGACCGTACCCGTTGAATAAAAATCTGAATGTCTTCTTCTATCAAGACCCTTTTATTTTAACTTTTGGACCTTATATATGTCTCCAAAGACTAATATTTTCAAGCTGATCTACTCATAGAGACGAATGATCTATCAACATAAGAAAGTTCATAAATTTTAGGGAAATAAATTAATCATTTAATCTGAATCAAAACGAAGTTATTTAAGAGTTTGACAAATGATAAAGTAGATCGATTGACTTACCAAATAGATAGACCGCAGTTGATAAACATAAAATCGGAGCCTTTAGTATCGATTTGATTCTTCAATCATTTTTCTATGTGTTTGAACATCAAACAGAAGAAGTTACAGATCTACTTTGATCCGACCGAGACACAAAAAAATAAAATTAAGCAAAAGGTAGATGCTTTTCAGATTCACATTGTTTTGTGTTTTTTTGCTTTTTCCTGAAAAAAACAGATAGCAAATGTGCTGTATTTATGATTGTGTTTGGACCTTAATAGTTCTTGACCTTTTGTATACTAACTAATTATCACATAAAACAAATTATGTAGCTTAATATTGCTTTTTAACAATATTGCTATCTAGCTAATGATGATTTGAATGTCATGTTTTCTATATTAATAGGTTAGAGATCACATCTTTACTAACTAATTAACGAGATACTATATTAATACATAGTTACAAGTTTTTGCGATACATTAATAGAAATGAAATATGTTGTGTTCATCCAAAATAAATTTAAAATATAACACAATACAAGAAAAAAAAGATATAGGATGACCAATAAACTAAAGTAGCAGAAATGAATTAAATGAAACCTTAAAATTGTTGTCTTTTAAAAATTAAATTTTCAAAAAGAACGTCCGCATAATAAAAAAATCTCATATTTTCAATTATTTGAATTCTAATCACTTTGAACAATACACACCCATGCCACACCTGAATAACATATGGAATTATGATATTATAAAAATAAATAATTAAATTTAGCACATTTTCAAAAATTAAAAACATATAATTAAAAGAAAAACTTCTGCGGATCAAAAGTTAGTTTATTTATTAAAATTGAGGGGCCAGTTTTTTTTTTAATGCTTGTAGACTAAAAATTGTCAAGGCTGACTCGGCTCTGATTTTTACCTTTATTGGTGTTTGTCTTTTAATTGTACTGTAATTTCTCTCTATGCTTAAATATGAAACTGGTAAAGAAAACAGTATATTGTTCTGATAGTGGTACTTACGTTGGTTCACGATGATAAGAAATAAAAAGTCATGAATAGCTTTTGATTAGTCAGAGCTAAAAAAAAAGGACTTTGATTAGTCCCAAGTTAATTAAGGATATGTATGAGTAATTTTATAGCTAAGTAGTCTAAAATAAATGGTAAAAAGCAAGAAGTTAACATGTCACTAAACTCAGTACGTGGAGTCTTTCATATGAACTTACAATACCATTGCTCATTTTGATGGCTCTACCATTAAGAAAAAGAAAAAAGCAAGCAAGAGAATTAAGCACCAACTTCGCATCTCATTTAGTGACATTTTCTGTAAAAGAGAAGGGCTCAACTTCATTTTCAAATACCCAAAAAATTTATGAAATAGCTCCCTGTAATAACATTTGACTCTATTAAGTTTGGCAGCAATCATATAATTTCAATACCAAAAGACTCTGGAAAAAACAAAAGATGTCTATTGTAAAAATGCAAATACACCACATAATAAAATTATAGAGCAAATGGACCCATATTTTTCTTCTTCTCAGCCAAAACATTAGCAATGTAAACAAACAAACACAAATTTTTTACAACAACTGTGGCTCTTCTGATTTGGAAATAACACATGCAATTGGCAAGTGTCTTCTTTGCCACTAACCACGTTTTGCCAATTACATGTGCTATTTCCAAATCATAAGGGCAATACTAATTGTAGGAATGCTGTGTTTGATTGTTTGTTTACATTTCTGATGTCTTAGCCGGGAGGAATAAAATTTTGAGGGAACCTTGTGTAGTTATGCTACTTAATCTCCTTTTAACATAATTTGGTACAATGAGTATGTATATGTGAAGGTGAAATTTTTTTAAGGAAAATTTATATAGATTAGGAACTGGATATAATTTCCGTGTACAAATTTAATTTGTCACAAAATTGTTACAATTGATAATGAAAATAAAATGATATAAATTATTATAGAATAACCTTTTAAATATTAAATTTTGTTTTAGCGACTTGGCTTTCCTTTTCCACTAACCAAGTTCATCTTTCGAGATTGCTGACCAATGATATTAACAGTCGAGGATTTTTCACTAAGTGCAATGGAGTAGGCATCTTTGAAATTGTTCATATCTTCGTTAATAAGATGCCAAAACAATGCTCCTGCGGCTGCACCGCCTTTTTGGGCAGACGCGTAAATGATGTCGAACACTATAGTGAAGACAGCATCTCTCTGTGCCTGAGTGTAGCCTGGTGCATTGGATGGTTTCCCAAATTCTCCCAGAATGAGAGGCTTTTTAAGAACGTTTTGTGCATCTTCGATGTGGCCTACGAGATTTTTTCTTAAGTAGTCCAATAGAGTTTTCTCATCTGACTTAGGAAACCTGAAATTCAAAAGCAGGAAGCAAACTATAATTTTATGAATAATTGATGAAACAAATTATATTCCAGAAAATGACAATCCAATTGCATCCTAAAACAATGATCCCATAAACCTTAAAACTTATAAAACCAATCATGTATTGAGTAGAAGATCATTTATCTTCATATTGCATACTTTTGTCTATGGAAATTAAAAACAAAAGCTTTAAAAAAGTGCTAGTTTTTAGCCAAAAAAACTAAGAATCCATCAGATGTGATGGACTACAACAGCAACGGAAATGATCTTTTATAAGCAGATGTGTAAAGGAATTATGTGAGTTTATTATCATTACCATGTGTCAGGGTAAGAGTGAACGGATGCGAAATCAATGGCATCAAGATTGTGATTAGCGATGAAATCGCTTCCAACAATGTTGGCTGCAACCGGATTTAAATCAGTCATTCTTTGAGGAGTTGATTGACCATAGAAGCCTTCAGATCCAGTAGAGAGGAGATGCTTTGAGTCAAGAGATTTTACATAAGTAGCCATTTCACTAATCCAAGCCGTAAGGGTTTTTCCGCTTATATCTGCTCTGCATTCTGGCTCATTCATGAGCTCCCATGCCATAATGGTTGGTTCATCTTTGTATGCAACTTTGGTAAATGTATTCACTCTGTTCACCACAGTCTAAAAGCAAAAGATCATAGGTTAGCATCTTAAAAATCTATATGTTGTTATGAACGTTTATTTAAGCAGGCTGCATATGAAAATATATAGTTAATAGGGTTAGTTTAGTAAGTGTACCTTGACGTGGTTCATGTAGGCTTGTTTAAGAAGAGCGTTTGTGTAGAAATCGTCTTCGGAAGTTACGGCTTGGCCTTTACTTTTAGCCCATTCCACGTATTGTTTCTTTCCTCCGAAGTCAGGAAAGTTATTGACAAATGCGATTATCATTTTTATACCGACTCTTTTTGCTTCGGCTATCGCAAAATCCAAACCCTTTCCACCATCAAAGATGTAAAACGAATTACTAACATATAAAAAAAAAGATATTTAGATTGAAAGGCTTCACACTTGGTGAGTAAACTCTAGACTTCACATGCATGTGTACGTACCTGAAACGTTTGTTCATCGTAGGAACCAAGGTTGGTTTGGAGAGCACGGTAACCACCATCACGGAATCCCCACGTGCGTGCGATGGTCAGGCCCTGACCAGCCGCGCTTTCAAGGGCATGTGTGACTTTGTACCTTGTGGTCGGATCGGTGGCTTCGTACATGAGCCAGTAGGCATTGAATCCATTGGCGTAAAATGGTTTACCGTTGAGAATGAACTGGACGCCTCTCCTACTCACAAAACTATCACCTGGCGCAGCATCTACTCCCAGATCGTTGTAGCTTTGTGTGATCACAAACGCTAGAAACGCGATCAAACACAAACACTTCATTTTGTTATTTACTTTTAATTTGCTTTTGTGTTCCATTGTCTTCAACGAGTGAAATATATATATATATACATGCTTAATTAAGTGCTTTCCCACAAATATAATCATGCTTGAACATTCATAATTTGTTGATTTACATACCGATACTGTACATTATTCTATTCCAGTTTTGCTCATTTTAATGTAAAATTTTAGGAACTAAATATTTCAAATAAAATAAAAAGATTTCTTACGAGATTTAGGTGTAATTATAATATTTAATACCTAAGCAGATTATTCAACGTCTTTTTTGAAGATAACAAAAGATTTCTTACTAAGATCAGAGAGATTTCTTACGCCTGAACCTCATAAGAAATCTTTTTATTTTATTTGAAGAGTAGAGATTGCCAAAATTTTACAGGTAATAAATTTTGAACTTTGTAACTACAAAAGTTTTTGATAAATGTAGTAAATTATCACTGATCAGTTATCAGTAAGTATTCTACTGAACTGATCAGTAATTCACGTTTATTCATTCCATTTGCTGGCTTGCCTTTTACTTATGAGGTGTTTGGTAAAAATGCCGGTTAATTCATGAGTAGTATGAGACACTCATGTTTCATCTTTGGGTCCAGACACACACCTTTTGCTTAGTTTGGTCTAAGAGAATCTCCAATGGTGTTACTATCATTGGAATCCTTAGTATTATTAAAAAAAAAATTAATTTCTTTTATTTGAATAGTTAATAATTCTAATCAAAATTGTATATATAATGGTGTTTTTCAATTTGGAATTCTTAAAAATAAAATAAAAATATTAAATTCTAAAATATATAAAATTATTTTTTTAATTTTTAATATGATTAAATATAAAGATACAATAATTATTAATTTTTATCACTAAACTTGTTCTAAATATTTTCAGTTAAATCATTTTCCAAACCGAAATACATATCTCCACCTCATTGAGAGGTTGTCACGTCACTAAAGACTCAGTCCTCAAACTCCTTAATTAATTACTGATCTTTAGCAAACTTAACTTTATTAATAATATTTTATTCAGATTAACCTAGGATTAAGTGCTAAAGACCGACGAAAAACCACCATTACGGATGGTCTAAGACTTTGATTTTCGGTCTTATTCGATCTAATCAGATGGGATTACTGAAAGTGAGTTTATACTTTGGCCCATTAACTTTAGTAATGGGGACATTAGAATCGACACCTAACTAAACTTAAGACCCCTGAAAAAGACAGTTTTCTGTTTGGTTTTATGATATGGTTTAGATATGTTTTCGGAGCATTTCTGATCCTATTCAGAACCAGATCTGCACACATACATTTGAAACATTTGTATAGGGCCTTTACTTTGTGGGGGCCCTCAATTCTGTTTTTTTCTATCATGTAGTTATATATATAATAAAGCTAAATGTGCAGAGTAAAGAAAAAAATTTCAAAAAGAAAAAAAATACAAAAAAAAATCATGATATACCTGTACGAATAAAATATTAGATGTGTGATGTGGGTGTTTAGCTGTTAGAATTTAGATAATAATAAATTTAATACAAAATTTTAAATTAAAATATATTTTCTCTTTTAGTTTATTCACAAATGAACAATGATTTCTAAGTTTCTAGTGCAATAATTATTTTTTTTTGTAAAAAAAAGTGAGATTAATATTTTTTTTTAAAGAAAATTAAATTTTTTTATGAGTGAGGCCCTAAAAATTAGGGGTGGGCATAAGCCAAATACTTGCCATTTTCTGTTTACTTGGTATTTAGTTTGGATTATTCGGGTAATGAAATTTTGGACTTGTATTTGATTTGTTAAAAACAAGTACTTGTATTTTCAAGTACTTACTAAAAATGGTATACTTGTAAATAATTACCCTATTTTACTACTTGTTATTTTTGAACTATTTATATAATTATTTGTTAATTTTTAATAATAATTTATTAATTTTTCCTACTTAAATCTATATATGAGTTTTAAAAAAATAGTTAGTTATAATTCAATCTACATATTTTTTTTTAATTTTATATGTTTTAAGTCGATATATGTAAATATAAAATTAAAAAAGAAACTCTAAAATATTTCTATAATATTACTTTTAATTAATTTAGCGTATAAACAAGTAATTTGATTATAATTTAGAGTTTTTTTGTTCAAAAGTAAAAATGGATAATAAATCAAGTAACAAGTTACGAATAATAAGTCAATAGCACCACGTAATTATTTTTATTTTAGTACTTGGTACTTGTTTTATACTTGCAAGTAATTGAAATACACGACTTGATACTCGACTTAAATAACACGAGTACTCGACTTTAAGAACCAAGTACGAATCAAGTAACTAGTACAAGCTGAGTAGCAAGTAATTGTGCCCACCCCTAAAAAAAAATACAGGTCCGGCTCTGATCCTATTCAATTTGCAGTCCTAATATAGTAGAATATTTTTTAACTCATTACTGATATCAAAAATGCTTTTAGATTCTTAGATTAGTGGATTATACAAGTGACTTCACATACCTAAGTGCCTACGACTTTATCTTTACGACTGGTAATGTTGTTCTGCATCTGCTTCAGAAGTGATTTTATGTCATATATTCTCATTTTTTCAGTAAGTTCACTATCATTATGGAATATAGGAATTAGGCATCGCTGTCAGAAGTAATTTCGTGGACAACCGCTTCAGAAATCCACTAGCGCATACTTTATTTGATTGTGCAATCAACTTTTTATAGTTTTTTTTTGTGTGTAAATCAAGTGGTTGTCTAATTCAAGTTCTATTTTTTAAAAAATTGCCTTTATTTCATGGAAAATAAAACATGTACCATTGCTGACACAATTATTGTTAACTATTTCTGAGGTCGACATAAACATAACAATGCATCTTAGCTAAAAGGCAATGTATAATCATCCTCTTATTTTAAATTTATAATGTACTACAACACGTGACAAGGTGGATTTATAACGCCTTTTGAGTCGAACAAAAAAGAAAAGCGTTTTGAAACGTTTTTTATTTGGTTGGCAGGCCAATCCATTCATTGAACACGTTTCTTTACGTATACAATAAAACTTCTATAAATCAATAATTGATAAATTAACATACACTAAATATTTTTATAAAATAATACAATTTTATAATCTTAAATTAAATTTTTGGTTTAATTAGTATATCGATAAATTAATATCTCTCTAAATTGATAAAAAGCGTTTTGAAACGTTTTTTATTTGGTTGGCAGGACCAACCCATTCATTGAACACGTTTCTTTACGTATACAGTAAAACTTCTTTAAATCAATATTCGATAAATTAATATACACTAAATATCTTTATAAAATAATACAATTTTATAATCTCAAATTAAATTTTTGATTTGATTAGTATATCGATAAATTAATATCTCTCTAAATTGATAAAAAAAATTGGTTTAGTCCCAACATTATTAATTTATAAAGGTTTCGTTGTATATAGCCGTAGGATATGTTAATTCATTAATTACTCTACCAATCATTTACACAAATATTAATCATTTTTTTTGATGTAACTTATCCGTAAAAACTCATCCGAGTATACAACATTATCAAGAATTAACTACATGATTGCTTCACAAAATTAACAAACGCAAGATATTTATTTTACTATTCGAAATTCACTTAACCAACAAATTATTCACCTAACTATACGGTGGGGACAAACATTAGCTGTCTCGAGTTTTAAGGAACTTTATCTCCGGACCCCCAAAACCAAACGTCTCCAATCACAAAACGACACGTGTGAGCTTCAAACTAAATATCCGAGAAAATTAATAGGATGTGATGCAGAGAATCCCACGGCTATATAACTCCAAGTTTCATCACACACATTTTGAAAAACCCCAAGAGTCAGTTCTCTTCTTCTTGTCCTAATCCAAAACCTAAACTCACGCAAGAACTGGATACTCTGGCGGATTCAGAGACCAAGAACCGAGACGTGGTTCTGAAACTGTATGACGCCCTGAGATCCCGAGACGTTGACTCAGTGCACCGGATCCTAACCCCTGATCTCGACTACTGGTTTCACGGCCCTCCGCCGCACCAGTTTTTGATGCGCACACTCACCGGCGTCTCTCCGCCGTTCAAGTTCTCGCCTCTCTCCGTCGTCACCTTCGGATCCACCGTCATAGCTGAGGGCTGCGACGTTGCTAGCTCCATCTCCTGGATCCACGCGTGGACCGTAGCGCATGGGATAGTCACACAGGTGAGGGAGTACTCGAACACTTCTCTCACGGTGACACGTGTCGGTGACGTTGTTGCTGGACGGTCTGCTGAGATTGCGACGTCGCATTGTCTATCAGTGTGGGAAAGTCAGTTCTCGGGTCGGGCTGGTAAATCCGTACCGGGTCTGGTTCTGGCGATTTGAGGATTTGGTTAAGTAACAGTCACGTCGGGGAATAATAATAACTAAATAAAGGCTGCTTACGTGTCGGTGTCTTGTTGGTTTGTTGTTTATGGATTGAAGGATTTGTGCGGTTCAGACGCGGTGTGGGGTAGCGGCTAAAACGCCGCGTTTTTGCTGTCGCTAGTTTTTTTTGTTGGATTTTTGTGTGTTTAGTGGGTACTACTCGCATGGAGAAACCCAACTTGACTTGTGCGGTTGTGTCGGATGTAGAAATAAAAATGTGCTTTCGGGATCTTATTATATTCGTTGGACGTTTTATAACACGAGAAGTTTTTGCATTTGATTACAACAAAAAAAAAATCAAATTGAAAACTGCTTATTTGGCCCACGTCTCTGATTGCTGTGATATTTGTATAAAATTGTATTATGTTTGTGTTTAAAAAAAACTATAATTTTGTTTAGTTTGTAACGAGTTGAGTTTATAAAGATGCACATTGTTCCTTCGAACGCAAAATATGTGAGCAAAATTTTCTGAGATATCAAAACTAGTGTTCCATAATTGTGCATCTCTCATTGTATCTCGATCCTTGATCAAAATATCAAAAGTTAGTCCCATTTAGGATTTTAGGGTGCGTTTTTTTTTTTTTTTTTTTTGATAACCACTAAGCGTGATCGACTAGTCCACCGGACCTAAGCCCATGCCATGATAGGATTTTTAAGCGTCCACTTAAGGGCCCCTGGTTACGCTAAGTGGTCTGGAGCGCCACACCAACTCCGCATGTAAATTATGTGGTGGCCGGGGTTCGAAGTCGGATGGCGGGCACCTCAGCCGAGGTTCTTTTACCACCAGGCTACGAAACCCGGTTGTGCGTTTTATGTAACTCGATCCTTAATCAAATCAATGCAAGCAAATTTTAAAGCGATTAGACTTCAATTTATTTTGGGAGTTTGATGTGCTCGAATAAGTATGAACTAAGTTTTCTGATTTGGATTAGAGAAGTAAAATTAAGGATTTAACAAGGTTAACATCTTTTTAATGAAAAATCAGTATAAGGTTTATATTAAATGTGATCAACAAAAAGAAAAACTGTGAAAGAGAAAGATTCGGAGGAAGCTACGAGAGAAGGTCACTCATGCGTCTTGTTGTGGAGTGGAAGCGCATTATCTTATCTTTTGGCGTCGTTAGGTCAAAATGATGTGACGATAGAACGATATTAACAAAAGTATAAAAAAACACCAGCTAATTAGGAGATAAATAAAACCAAGAAAAGTATATATTGGCGTATTATTTTTATATTCGTTGTTTAATTTAATCGTGATGCAGTGACGGAAACATCGACATCCACTGAAATAGCTTGGCGAGTTTTTCAATAATGTCCCATGCCCACCAAAACATGGGAGACATTCACAAATGTTATTTACATTTGTGTAACCCATCTCTTGGTTTCTATCAGTTTGTTGTAAAGGTCTAAAGACAATATACAAGTGGTAAATGCTTTATTTGTAGACAAAACCTCAAGTACAAAATAGAAAGAGCAGCAATATACAGATTGATAACGATACATACAAGTGGTATGTTTACTAATTTACAACCCATTTCTTTATTATTTGAATAAAATACATACAGCATAGGACACCAGCTAAGATAGCCATAAATCTTCTCTAACGTAGATTGGACGTATCATCTGCAATTACAAGCAACGCGATAACAAATGCGATGTCGACATATGGATTAACTCTCACCTTGAAGCTGTAATTTCCTATTATAAGTCCTCCCCATGAGAAATCATGAACCACCTGAAGAATTCAAGCTTTGTTAAAAGTACATGATTATGGTGTATACCATAATTTGTGCCAACGGTGGTTAGCTAGATAACTAAGCAGAAAAAAATCTAAAACGTGACATAATCAACTAATTATCGAATAAAACCCTTTTCAGTTTGATCTACAGATGAGTCTAAGCAAGAAGTTAAGAATAGATAGTGACGTACCTCAGCAAGAAGAGTATTATGAATTGGTTCAAAGAGTTTGAAAGAAGAACCAATGTAACGACCAGATGTTCGAAAATCTGGCTCGATACTACTAATGTCCGTCGAAGGTTGTTGTGGCGGTAATGAGACATCAAGTGATGTTTTGAAGGAGAACAGATTTGGTTCTCTTACTGAGAAAAGAAGATCCTCGGATTCTGTGCTTTCTCCTTTGTACACTTCCCATTTGTATCTCATTGTTATAATACCCTGAAACATTATACATTACTTCAAATAAAAGTTTGTTTCAAATCTTGATTTCTTTGTAATGTACTCAGCTATTAGGTGTTTGATTGCTTATACAACCAGAGACCAAACATTACACTACGTTTAAGATAAAAAAAAAAATATTAGCAATAAATTAAAATTTTAGAGAAAAGTTGGCAAGAAAATTTGGTTTGTTAGGCCATTTAACCCTACGACCGGTCTACTGACTTTCTTAAAATGAATTTTAAGCATGGCTTACACATTAAAAGATGCGTTCTATGTATGGAAAAATTAGATATATGAAGCCAACTTTAACTAACAAGATATTTGTATCATTGTATTCACTTACACAACATGTGATTAGATACAATAAAATGGTTTTATGGAACTAGATATAGAGGTAAAAGTAATTATGTGTGTGTTTTTGTAACCTTGGTGCGCATGGAGAGGAGAGGAATTCCGCTAGCGTCACGGAGGGTACGTTTACGGCGGATGTTCCATGTCCCACCGTCGACGGTGAAGATGAGATTGCCGGAGAGATCAAAAACGTCAAAACGATCCCTTTTCAGGCTCTCACGCTGCCTTCTCACCACTAGCTCCGTCGTGTACGGATTACAGAACATCTCTCCCACAACACTCACCATTTTTTTTCAAACAATTATGTCAAAATATTCCTTTGAACGAGTTTGTGTCTGATACAAGAAAACTAAGACGGGTTCCTATATCAAAAGGACCTCACTCTCTTTTGATTTTTCTTTATTACTATTAAGTAAGCAAAGAAAAGAAAAGTAGAGTTTAAAACTTTAAAGTCGACTTCACGCGGTTCTTAGATTGCTTGTACAAGAATAAAATGATTATTCATATTGTTAAAGTATATTCGTGGCTGATGAATGTGACACGAAGAGACAATTTTTTTGTTTAAATTATTTTTATAGTAAGCTCCTTGATCATGTCCAAATCCATTCGTATCTAATTTTCTTCATTGACTAACATAAAAGAGATACTCTTTTATTTGGCTAGTCTTGACAAGATTAACTTCATAGTACATTACTTGCCTGCATGATACATTGTTGATGAACTTATATGCTTGTTTTAGTCAGTTGTTTCTCCTGCACATGCAGCCGGCTCTAGCCGGTTCCATCATTGGGTCAATATGTATATGTACCATAGTTTTTTTCTTTTGGTTGGTCCATATAGATTCATATATACATAATAAAGGCCGAAAATATGGGGCCGCTGATAGCTGAAGCCCAAGAAGCTGTTTAAGTACGTAGAAGAGGCTGTCAACACCGTGAGGCCAGCACAGGCCCGTCTCTGAGAAATAGCAAGAGGAGTATAGGTCCAGGGCCCAAATTTTTTTTTAAGCATAAATAGTATTAAAAAGTTTTATATTTTCTTAAAAAAGTTTAGATAAAGATCCAAAATATTTTGAGATATCATAATTATATGTAAAAAAAAACAAAAAATATAACTATTTTGCTAAGGGTCCAAAACTTTTTTGAGACGGCCTAAACCAACAACGTAATAACATTAAAAGCATCGAGCTAGTACGACATAAATATTACGGAAGTGGACACATAATGGACATGCACAAATGTGTTCAAAAACAATGGACATGCACAAATATGGTAGATTGTGAGATGGTTACTCAGACTATGAGACTATCCTTTACCATGATCTACCACTTCAATATATGGAATATGAGAAGATTAGAGCAAAAAATATATATAGGAATTTAAACCTTGATTGTCAATACATCTGTAGACAAACTGCTGATCATGATGGTTATAAAGAGATGAAATAGATAAAGAAAATCTCTTTTGAAGATGATTATGAAAACGTAAGTAACTTAATATAATTTTAGATAATTTCAGTCATTATTATTTTGAAACTGATAATTTGATATAATTATTAATAATGAAGGATATTTTTTGGAGTTAAAATAGAGCATTGGAGGTGGAGTCATCGATCCAAAATACACATTTTCGATATCTACTTGGAAGAGGCACAACTAAATCGAAAGGCTAACTTAGATTTTGATGTCTTGGGTTGTTAGAAAGAAAACCAACATCAATTTGGAGATTTAGCATCTATGGCACGTGACATCCTCATCATTCTGATTACCACAGTAGTTTCTGAGTCTGCCTTTAGCATGGATTCCAGGTTTTAACTCCTTACCGAAACTGTTTTTCTTAAAAATGTCTAAGTTCTTCTTTGCACTAGAAATTGGTTGCGCGGTTATACTGAATACAAAGATAAAGTTAGAAAACCATTTATGACTATTTTTGTAACTAATCCATATTATAATTTGTAGATTCCATAAAAGACCTATTTGATGAAAATGAAGATGTTAAAAAAAATCAAGTAGTTTAGGAGTGGAGTTTTCAACATCAAAATTTTTTAGTAATGTAAACTCATGAGAATTGAGAACATGTTGTATTCATAAAATAGGTTGAGTCTTCATATATTACGATTTTCATTACAAGTTGGCTTATATTCATAAAACAGCATGCATTTTGCACTTTTTTAAAGTTAAACGGATCTTAAGTGAGTCTTTGATGGATATATAGTAAACGAGCTTTTACCGGACGCTTTTAGTGTAAACCGAACATGTAGTAAACGTTAACGGGTTTAGACATAAACAGACCGAACAAGTCCATTTTAGCATACCACAACCAACAATTATGTGGACCAGGTTCCGGCTAGTGAATCTCTCTTTCATGCTATATTAAATAGCGAATAAAATGATTCACTCCATACACACACAAAACACCTTATTTAGCTCAATACCCTATTTCTCTCTTCTCTTTCCTTTCCCCTATCACTATTTTTTCTCCCTAAAATATGGCAAATGCCTAAATACCTACTTCTTTTGGTATATTGAGCTAAATCCCTCTTAAATAAAACTGTTTGTAAGAAGAGTTTTTGTATTATATTCCGAAATATAGCTGGGGAAGTCAGTGACTTAGTGATAGATAGTTTTGTATTGGTCAAATGTCTGACTTAAGTAGAAAAATCTTAGATGTTTTTTTAATCATTAAGCTTTAATCTATTTTCTTTAAACTTATTTATTTTTTAACATTTAATGGAGGTCTCTCTTATAAAGCTGAGATGATTTCTAAATAAATTGTGTTACAAAGAAAAATGAATTATGTTTATTAAAAACAAAAATCTACTATTCCTACAAAATGTTACATTTTACATTTTTTTTATAGAATATGCATAATATTTTCTTTAGAAAATCAGTATTTATTTTGCTAAAGAAAATCAATAATTTCTTTCTAAGGAAAATAAATATTTGCTAATTTTATTAGATTTCTTCAAACACATATTTCCAATTAATAGTAAAATGGTCATCTTTTAATATATATTTAAAGCTACTTTAAATCCAACTAACATATGCAACATTAAATTTAAAAAAGGTAGTTTTTAGTCAAAGATATGTTTAATCTCTTAATAACCTGAACTTGTCTTTTGTCAAATTCCTAATTTGAATTAAATACCCCCTTGGACTCTGTGTTTGTTTATCAACTATAGTAAGGATTCTCAATTTACTTACTCATATCGAATGCGTGTTTTTCATGGCGTGTATTAAGCCACATGTCAATCACTCGGCACATCTACGGTCCAGCACTCGAGTTACTGAGTGACATGTCACCAGTCCAATAAAATAACAAAATATCAGAATCATCCAGAGAAGTTTATAAATATCCCCTCGACCCCTTCAGTCTCAGAGAAAGTTTCGATCTTTGAAAAAGTAAAAAAAAAAAAAAACGCAAGCGAAAAACTCTGAAGACGAAGAAGAAGATTTACAAAATCAAGATCGTTCCATACTGAATCGAATCGAATTTCGGAGTTATCAATCCCAATCGGTACGTTTATTCTCGATTTTAGCTGATTCGTCGATTTCACGATCAATGTCAATTTTCTAGGGTTTGGGTTTAGTGATTTTAGGGGTTTATTGTTTGTTGATTGGTTTGTGGAATATTTCCGAGATAAATTTGGGTTTTTTATAATTTTTGGTATTTCCTTTTTTTAGAAAAAAAGGAAAACTTTGGGAGCAAGGAAAACAAACTTGGTGACCAAGTACTTTTTATATCCCTATATATAAACCCACTTCGATTTAATATCTTTTCCTGTTTTCTTGAATCTCCTTCTTCCAAAAAGTTCTCATCTTTAATCTTCTAGAGAGAGTTTTTTTTTTCTTCTCCAAGCCCTAATCTTTTTTGATCTGTCTCTGTAGATGTCTGTTTATGACCAAACCGGAACCGTTACATCATCAAAGAAGAGGAAATCTAGGGCAAGAGCAGACGGTAAGACAGTGGCTGATAGGTTAAAGCAGTGGAAAGATCACAACGATGGAGAGAATAAACGGAGACGGATAGTTCATGCGAAGGGTTCGAAGAAAGGTTGTATGAAGGGTAAAGGAGGGCCAGAGAATACTAAGTGTAGTTTCAGAGGGGTGAGACAAAGGGTTTGGGGTAAATGGGTTGCTGAGATACGGGAACCTAATAGAGGAAGTAGGCTTTGGCTTGGTACTTTTCCGACAGCTGAAGAAGCTGCTTGTGCTTATGATGAAGCTGCTAGGGTTATGTATGGGCCTTTGGCTAGGCTTAATTTTCCTGGTTTTGAGTTTGCTAGCAGTTCGTGTCAGTCTGAGGTGTGTACTGTTGAGGATAAGGTGGTGATTGGTGGTGATGTTTGTGTGAAGCAAGAGGATGGTGATTGTGAGTCTAGACCAGTTTGTGAGATCTTAGATGTTAAGGAAAGGTGTGTTGATAGTAGGCTGCGGGAGAAGTGTGTGGATGAACATCGAGATGTGAATAGTAGGCTGAGTTCTTATTTGCTGGATGAGTTTGAGCAGGATTATCAGAGTAGATTAACGAAGGTTTTAGAGAAACCAAAGGAGGAGGAGGAAGAAGAAGTGATACAGCCGCAGCTGGAGCTGGAGCCGGAGCTTAGTGTTGCGGATTATGGTTGGCCTAGTGATACGCAAAACGAGGAATGTTTTTGGGATCAAGATGATCTTTTTGATGTTGATGAACTTCTTGGTGATCTGGATGTAGACCTGTTAACCGATTTTGATTTATCCCAAAACGGGAACCCGGAGCAGGTACACCCTGGTGGTAATGATTCACATCCTTTTCAGCTGGAACCACACAATGATCCTTGTGAAGACCAGGTAAACCCTGGTAGTAATGATTCACATCCTCTTGATTTGGAGCAACACGATGGTCATGAGTTCTTGGACTTGGATTTTCTGGATCTTTGAGAGTTCAGAGGCGATGAATGGTCTGCAAGACTTGCAATAGGATCTCTGCTTTTGATCATGCATTAGCAACAAGAAGTGGGTGTTATTGATCTGGTTTCAAAATGAAAAAAAGTATAATAACTTCCTAGTCTTTACTGAGTTTACTCTTTCCTTGAGTCAATGAGTGTTGAATCACAACTATTGAGATTAATATAAGATAACTGAGTTTACTCTTTCCTTGAGTCAATGAGTGTTGAATCACAACTATTGAGATTAATATAAGATAACAGAGGTGAACTCTTTCACTGTTTTTGTAGAACAAGAGTGTGTTACACAATTTACAATTATAGTTCTTACACCAATAATATTTTACGAACCTTTAAGAGAAGAGAAGCTTGTTCCAAGTATCTTGAAGACCAGGCTAGCTAACCAGATTGGCTGTTCCTTGGTCAATAGGCTTCATTGCTTCTTGTATATCAATGTTTAATTTCCAGTCCTAGAGTCATATAAGCTATACAACTCATCTCTTTAATCTTAGTTTCTAGATGACTTATAAAATATTAAGTAACTTACTGTCTTGTAATGAGTAGGGGACATGGTAGCAAAGAACACCCTTGTCTTCACCCATTTAACCATACTTTAATCAGTGCCTTAAGATAAGCATCTTCGCTCTCCATCTCAATGCTTCTCGTCTCCTTATCCTTGAAATGAACCTTCCCTTCGAATAATAACAAACTCAAGAAACAATCAAATTCACAAGCCTGAGAAAATTTTACTTAATGTCATAATTAGTACATAGATGACAGGTACATCGTGTTTGTTGATGGACTTTCCTCACAATACGATCTGATACTCTATGAGAGCTGGTGAAAAAAATACACAGGTTTTCACCGCCTCGGAGTAGGTTGCAGACCTTAAGAATTAGAAAAGGTCAGGGTAAGTCATTTAAACCCTAGAGATCATTCTTACAAGCGAGCCTGCACTTACTTCAGGGTATTTAATCAACAACATGTCGTTTAATAAATGAAAACGACACGGCGTTTAAACAAAGATTGTCACATTAAGGGCATGACTGGTTTCTCCGATACCTTCCACAAACGCAGCTTTTGCGATTGGTAGCAATTGTTGACGTTTAGCAACATCACAAAGAACGCTACAAATCGCTTTAAACCGTTCCTAACCTCTTTAAACCGTTCCCAACCTCTTAAAATCAAAAGCTTGTGCTAGCTAGCGTTTACGGTTGCGAGCGCTAGCAGATGGGTTAAAAACAGTTTTTTAAATAAAAAAATTAAATTAAAATATAAAAATAAAAATATTATAACCAAAATTATATCTACCTTTTTGTACTTTAATTTAAATTCTCTAAAAATATCATAATTATTATAAAAACTTTAAATCAAGAATTTTCACTATATTTTTAAATATATGAATATATAAATATATAAATATATAAACATATAAACATATAAATATATAAATATATAAATATATAAATATATAAATATATAAATATATAAATATATAAATATATAAATATATAAATATATAAATATATAAATATATAAATATATAAATATATAAATATATAAATATATAAATATATAAATATATAAATATATAAATATATAAACATATAAACATATAAATATATAAATATATAAATATATAAATATATTATTATATTATAATATTTTAGTAATTATAGAAATTATATTTTTATCTTAATTAAAAAATAATTGAATAAAAATAATATTGTTATTAATTATATTATATTAATCATTATTATTTTTTATCATAACAGTATGTTTTCATATTTTTATAATGTTATAATATGGTAATATTGGTAATTTATTATTGAACCGCTGCAGTATCTCATACTCAACCAGTCATAAGTGTCTCGCAAATACACCAGTTTTTAATCGCTGTACCAGTCGTACTAATTGTCTAATAACGCTAGAAACCGCAACCACCCACATTCGTAAACTCCTGCAACCGCAACCGTTGCGTTTCAACCAGTCAAGCCCTAAGAACCTCACTAAATCTACAAGAAAGCCAAAGTTTGAAAACGAAATGACTGTTTTGGAATCCGATCTGAACCCGCGATTAAACCAATAAACCAGGTGATCCAAAATAAATCTTGTTTGGATTTTTTGAAAAAATCAGTATTTAAAAATTTAATAAAACCTGCAAAATACAACTAAAATCCTGTTAGTGGTTGAACCATTAATTAAATCATTAAATAACTTTTATTTTTTATTTTAGTTTTTAATTATGCTTTGATTATTTTTTTTTATCATATATAATACCAATTGCACTATTCTATTTTTGATTTTAAATTTTGATGAAGATTTTTACTATACCACCGGAGAATATAAAGTGAACGATGATAGATAAAACTAAAAATTAGTTGATGTAATTTGATGTTATTTTAATTTGTAATCGACAATTTAATACAATGATGTTTTACTTTTGATTTATTTTGGATTTGAAGTTTAATTTATTATTCACATTGGCCATCTCTTTAAATATTTAGAAGTTTTAAGTCTTAATATTATTTTGTTAGATGTCATAACTTTAAAGTTCTTAACTTATTACAAAAAAAAATAATTAAATTATTTTTGATATTTTATTTGTCAAGTGAAAAAAAAAGTTTAAGTATTTTCTAAATACTTTTAAATCATAAGATATATATACATTTCAAACTGTTTCTTATGTTTTAAAATAAATTGATTAATCTGTCGTTCATCCGCAGTCGATCTAATCATCTGATTATCTTGAAGTCAAGTCGGGTTTCAAAACATAACGACATAAGAAACCTAACTTCCTCAACGATAAATCCACACTTTTTCTGGTCCCTTCTTTCCGGCTTCTTCAGCCACCAGGGTCGGGCCATACCCACCTGAGGTTCTATTCGAATTCAAAAAATGGGTCGTTTTTCTTTTATATATATATATTTTTAGTTTAAACCTAAAAAGACCACAAAATTTTTTAACCCTAAGCAATTGCTTCCTTTACTTATGTCCTGGACCGGGCCTGCAGCCACCTCGTAAGATCTCTCTCTAGAACATGCATGTATATGTTTCTCTCTTGAGTTTCTTTTGTTGCAGAACATTCCCATGGCTTTCTTCTCAAAGCATATAATCAATAGTGTACATTTATTATGGTATAGAATTACACTTTTTTAATAGCAAAATATATATAAAAGTGAGATATGTAGTTTTATGTGCATTTAAGATATGTAGTATTATACAGTATAACATTTTTAAATTAATATATATTAAAAATCTCTATAAAATAATATATTTTTATAGTTCTAGTTGAATTTTTTGATTCAATTAATATATGGATAAATTAATAATTTATGTATTATTAATAAAAAATTATAATTTTGTGATAGTTCCAATATTATTAATTTATAGATGTTTCACATGTACTAGTAGCAAATAGGCCATGTAAATTAAATAATGTGTCATAGTATTAATGGACAGGAAGAATCACCCGTAATATTTGGTTAAATTTATTTACTCAATAGATATAACAAAATATAATTAATTAAATGCATTAATGTTTGGTAGTTCAAAAACTTAAATATGATTAGAAGTTTCACCTTCCTCACCTACACGAGATCTCAGCTACGTACTCTAAAGCATACCATAACCTAGACAAAAAGAAACGACATCAAAGCTAAAGAAACTCTTAGTCCATGGCGAATGGTACTTCAGCTTCCTCACCGATAAGACCACACTTTCTTCAGCCTCTTCTTCCCGGATTCCACATCTACATTGTAATCTCTCTCCCTCTATCTATGTGTCCCTGAATATAAATGCGTGCTTTTGTTCGAACCCTCTCTTGAGTTTCTTTTTTTTTCTGCAGAACATTCCCATAACATTCTACTCAAATCATATAAAGGGAGCAGCCAACAAGGGCAATTCTAATGCAGTGGTAAAGCTGAGATCAGACGCTTCTGATTTAACATGGGAAGTGAAGATGGACGGTCGTAGACTCACCCATGGCTGGGAAAAGTTTGCCACCAGTCATGATCTCCGAGTTGGAGACATAGTCATTTTCAGACATGATGGAGATTTGTTGTTCCACGTCACACCTTTTGGTCCCAGTTGCTGTGAGATTCAATACAATGATGATGATGATGATGATGATGATGACGGTAATGGCAATGTCATTCAAGTACTTTGAACTAGGTTTGGTATTGGTTACTTGCAAGATTCTGTTTTAGATTCTCATTTCAAAGTTTGAAACAGATTCAGATTCAGAGAAGTATCATCATCAACAACACACAAGAGATACAGGATCTTCATCAGACCACTCTTGTTTTGTAGCTCGTGTGACCGAGTCAAATCTAAGAAAAGATGAACTGGTGAGTGGTGAAAGAATCCATTCTGCATTTGATTTAACATATCCTTAGAACCAAATCATAAAAAAAAAAAAAAAAAACTTTGCAGTTTCTTCCAGGACACTTTTCAAGATCTAATGGCTTGGTGAATCGTGAAGGCGAGATCATTCTCTTGAATGAAGAAGGGAAACCATGGACATTGTTTCTGAAATACTACAAAACAAATGGTCATGTTTACATAAGACACGGCTGGAGAAGTTTCTGTCGAGCAAACAGAAAAAGAGTCAACGATGCATTGACTTTCAAACTTGTGAAAACAGGGAGAAAACCTGTTATCCAGTTGCGTGCGTCAGTGTACTACAACCGAGGCTCTTCATCTTCTCAACAAGCCAAGACAGATTCGTGACACTGACTCTCACACCATACAATCTCAAGAGCTATAAAATGGTAAGCAAGTAAGATCGTTTTCAAGATTGTAATTTTGTATCAGAGTTGTTTTAATGTTTTTTTTAGTGTATATGGCAATGTCTACCGGTGCCATTTGTGAAGGCGGATGGTATCAAGAACGCAAGGGAGATAACCCTCGTTGACAGATACGGTGTAAAAAGGACAACGAGTCTTAAGTTCTGTTAGACGGTTGGTTGTGCTTATATAATATCAATACCTACTT